GTGTGGTGGCGCACACCTTTGACCCCAGCACTTGGGAGGTACAGGTAGGCGGATCTTTATGAGTTCGAGGCCAGCCTGGTCTACATAGTGAGTACCAGGCCACCTGGGGCTACAGGGAGACCCTGTCTCAAAAAAAAAAAAAAAAAAAAAGGCAATAATAATAAATTAACAAATTCCAAAAAAAAAAAAAGATAACTAGCCAGGCATGGTGGTCCTTGTCTTTAATCCCAGCACTCAGGAGGCAGAGGCAGGCTGATCTCTGTGAAACTGATGCTAGCCTGGTCTACATAGGAAGTTCCAGGGCAGCTGGAACTATAAGGAGACCATCTCAGAAAAAAAACAAAAACAAAGACAACTACCGTGTGAGTTCTGGGGATCTTCCTTTCCTCAGGCTTGATGGCAACTACCTTTGCCTCCAGAGGCATTTGGCACCCTCTATGGCTTTTAAAAGCTCCCCAGGTGATTCCAGCATGTGACCAGAAATGGATAGTGCTCAACTAAGATGAGAACTTGGGTAGAGAGGTAGAAAGGCCAAGTATTTTGGTCTTTGTTCCCAAGTGTACTCAGTACCTGGAATATAACATGCCTGAACTGAGGTCCCTGCGAAGTAAGATACTGGTATTTCAGCCAACAGTTGGATTGGACAAAGGCAAAAGATTCTGGAGTCAGAAAGGGGTCATTAGAGGGAGGCGAAGGGAGGAATTCTGAATAATCCATAGGCATGGGAGTATCTGGTGCCCAGGCCAAATCTTCCCAGGACCAAGAACACCCTGTGCCTTTGCCCTATCCCTAGGTCAGAGCTCCTGGGAGCTGCTAAGTGGGGTTCTGTTCACACACCCCCAAGCAATTCAGTTTTCAAAACCTTACTAGGGCATAGGGAGTAGCTTGCCACCAGCTTCTCCCACAGGCCTCCTTCCTTGGCCCAACTAGGGTAAGGGCCAGAGGAGCCAAAAGATTATAAACCCTGAGGTCACCAGGGATTATAACCCAAAGCAAGCGCCATGGAGTCCTGACGCCCCCTGGTGGACATCTAGCATTAGGATGATAATCAGCAGTTCAGGGGGAAGAGGTACTGAGAACATGTGTTGGGCCAGTGTCAGGCATAATCGTGATCAAGAGGTTGGGGATGTAGTTTAGTTGGTAAAGTGCTTGCTTAACATGCACATGAAGCCCTGGGTTCATGCCCTCACCGACTAAACTAAGAGTGGTGGACCATGTTTGTAATCCCAGCACTTGGGAGGTAGAGGCTAGAAGATCAGAAGTTCTGTTACATAGGGAGTTTGAGGCCAACCTGGACTACATGAGACCCTGTCTCAAAAAAAAAAAAGAAAAAAAAAAAAAAAACAACTACATGATTAGAAAAAACTTCAGGGGCTGGAGAGATGGCCCAGTGGTTAAGAGCACTGTCTGCTCTTGCAGAGGACCCGGGTTGGATTCTCAGCACCCAGGAGATCTGACACCCACTTCTGACCTCTGAGGGCACTGCACGTAATGGGTGCACTTACATGCAGACAGTATACTCACACGCATAAAATAAAAATAATAAATAAATTTTTTTTTAAAAAACTTCAGTAAAGGAAGACTAGGGGCAGAAAGGACTATTGTTTTGGTCCTCACCTACTCCTTTGAACCCCCTGAAATTCAGCTTCCTGTGGCCCCCATGGCTGAGTCTAGAGATGAGTGCCCATCAACACTTCACTCAGTGGGAGACATTTTTCCACTTGTGTGCCTTTCTGCTGTTCCTCTGTCCCTTGTTTGACATCCCTCAGTTGAGTGTAGGAATGTTCCCCAGTGATGTCCATCCCAGGCAAGCCCATACCTGCTGCCTTTTTGGCCTCCATCTCTAGTTTGGTAAGCTCTTTCCACTCTGCCACCCCACTACATGCCAGGTAATTAGGCCCATTTGTGTATGTAGTCCTCCTGCACTCACGACTGCCCCATTGGTAGCAACATTCAGCTGACTGCTGGGCATTTTCATTTGGTCACAATTATCTGAGCTAGCAAATTATCCCAAATGCAAACACAGACCCTCTTCCCTCCCCTGGCTCTCATTAACCTAGACACCACTCTGGTTGTTGGCAGCCTCTTTCATGTCCTCCATAACACTATAGCAGTGTCTCCATTCTGCAGGCTTCCATACTCTCGCATCACTTTGGCTACTCAGTCCACTTAGAGAGAACCTATGTCCAAGTCCTGTGTTCCTCAAGGTCAGGTCAGCCTTCATTCAAATGGCAGTCATACACCTTTGAAATGCCACATACGTAATCATGAATGTATTTTGAGGTGAAGCAGAAAAGATGCTCTTACCAGCAGGCCTGTTTCTAAGACATGATCCTCTCACCAAGGATGGAAGGATTACATGGGATAATACTGCAATATTTACACCCCTGAATGTTGTCATTACTGTAAGTGTTCTTTAGATGACCTTGCTGACTTCAATCTCTGGGCCTCCTTGTTAATTCTGTTAATCTTCCTAAAATATCAATTTCATCACATCATTACTCAAGAATTTTGTGATTGAGCCCTGGATCTCCCTAGGTGTTTGGCAAATCACAGGAGCTAGTCCCACAGGGATTGATTCATCAAGGTAACAGAGTGGGAAATTAGGTCCCCAAGGGCCAACAGTCTAAAAGATATCAAGATAGGTCTGTGGGTTGCAACTCTAGGAAATCCAGTTTCCAGAAGATAAGGCAGTCAGTATGTCAGAAATGGGGCGGGGGGGGGGGCAGGTGGACAGCAAAGATGAGCCACCAAAAGCAAGGACACTGACCTATACCTTCTGAGGAAACAGGCTTGTTCCTAATGAAGCAGGAAGTTCCTAGATTACTTTTAGCTGTCCAGGACACACATCAGCAGCTTCAGGTAACCAGGTGGTGAGATCACAAGGAACCTGACTGAGGAAATGCAGGGCAGCTGAAGAAAGTCTGCAGGGTAAGCAGGTGGGTGCAGTCTCAACCAACACCTCTAGGTTATCAAGATTAGAAGGAAAGATTATAAAAGTATCTGGTGTTGTGTTTGATTGATCAACTGATCGATTGATGTACTGAAAGCAGTAAGAGCTTCCATGACACCAAATAAACCAGTTCTGAGGTTTCCCCAAGATAAATTTAAAACGCTCAGCTTCTTCAGTGTTTCTTGCTGTCAGCCGGGGTGAGGGTGCATGCCTTTAATTCCAGGACCTGAGAGGCAGGTGGATCTCTGTGAGTTTGAGACCAGCCTGGTCTACATAGTGAGGTCCAGGCCAGCTGGAACTGTAGGGAGACCTTATCTCAACATGACCAAAAAATAGCTCTTTCTGCCATCTTGGTGCCAGTGGAAGCCTGCTGGGATCAGGACTTCTAAAAGACAATTATGTCTGGAAGGCTGTGGTGCAAGGCCACTTTTGCTGGCTATAAGTGAGGTCTCTGAAACCAAAGAGAGCATACAGCTCTTCTTAAAATCCAAGGTGTTTATGCCCAAAATGAAACTGAATTCTACTTAGGCAAGAGATGTGCTCATGTGTATAAAGCAAAAAACAACATAGTGACTCCTGGTGGCAAACCAAACGAGTAATTTGGGGAAAGGTAAGCCTTGGCCCATGGCAACAGTGGCAGGTTCGTGCCGAATTCCAAAGCAACCTGCAAACGCCATTGGACACAGAATCTGTGTGATACTAATACAGGCTGAAGTAGGAATCTACTTCACATAGGATTGGGAGTGCTCAGGGATTGGGTCTGGAGTGGATCAACCCTCTCAGCTTGCATACTCTTGCTGGTGAGACCCAGGTCTCCTGATATGCCCAAATGGGAAGCTGGGAAGGTAGGCTGCCACTCAGTCCACCCACACACCAACCAAGGACAGGGCTGGGTCTTGTACCCCACAGTGGCCCCAGCCTGCCCTAGGTGTGAGCAGGAATACAAGCTCAATGCTATGGAATGAAGGTGACCCCAAAACAGGCAAGTCAAAGGGGCTCTACGACCATACAGTAGAAAAGCTAAGTGGACTAGCATTCAGGCCACTACTGCAAAACCTACGCTAGGCATAGTTTTTCTTCGGTGTTCAAGTTCTCTTGTACTTTTTTTAAAGATACATTTTCAAGCCAGACTTGGTGGCACATGTCTTTAATCCCAGCACTCAGGAGGCAGAAGCAGGCAGATCATGGTGAGATCAAGGCCAGCTTGGTCTACATAGGGAGTTCTAGGTCAGCTGGGGCTACAGGCTCCTCCCTTTCTCTCTCAGGTACACTTATATACATGCAGGCAATACACACACACAAAGCTAATGTTGCATAGGAGTGCCAGAAACCTCCTCAGTGGAAACAAATCAGACCAATTCATGGAGGCAGCTTCTGGTACTCAGAACTAAAGTTGTATGTCTGCCACATGAAAGGAGAGCAGAGGAGGTGAGGGGGAAGGATGGGTCTGGTCCAGTTCTGGCCCAGAGCTAGTCCTATCCCTGCTGGTGGTATGGTGGCCTCAGTGTACCAGTTTCTGTGGCATAGACAACCTCAGCTTGTCAGAAGAGGGCATCAGATCCCCTGATCTGGAGTTTCAGGCGGTCCTGAGCTGCTTGATGTTGGTGGTAGGCACTGAACCTAGGTTCTCTGCAAGAGCAGAGCTCTTAACTGCTGCACCATCTCTCAAGCCCTTATGTCTGTTTTGGGTTTTTTCATGTTAAGACAAAGTCTCCCTAGTAGCCCCAGCTGGATATATACTCTATATTAATGGAATCAACTTTAAAATCTGTTAAGGTCATAGTTTTTGTTGATAGCCAAGTGCCTAGAAAAGCTATGGAATCTACCTAAATACACTAAGGGCAAGAAAGGAAATGACAGAATGTCCACCACCAGGAGAGAATAATGTAAACCAGTCTCTGGGCACCATTGTATCTATGCAAGTTTATCAAGTGTAACAAATATAACACTCTGGTGTGAGAAGTTTACAGTGGGAGGATGAGCCAGTCAAAGAGATATGGGGCATATGGGACTCACCTGGGCCAAGCTTTCTTATGAAACCAAAAAGTCTTTGGGTATTCAAGCATTTTATTGAATCAGATAAGGAATCTCCACATTGTTACATACACTGACTGTATACAATTATGAGGGCCTGACACTTGTTTACAAAAATACAGCTGAGTAGTAGATTGCAAGTCTAAAACTTCAAGACATTCAAAAAGCTAACACAGTAAAGGTCATGCAAATTCTACAACAGTGAATCATGACAGAGCTCACTCTTTATCTTTAAAGCCCATGTTTTTAGCCAGAGAAATCTGAGAGTAATAGGTTATCACTAGTCAGATACACATTTTCAAGAATATTAAACCTCTTGCCACTTACAACCTTGCTTGATTAGAAATAACCCTAATCATAGAAAAGGGTATCTTTCTTTAAAAGCAAAATGTATGCCTTTTTTTTCATATTAGACTTTGAAATTCCACTAAGTACATTCGCACATACCTGATCCAGGAATCGAGCCGATGATAATTTTTCCACTTACATACACACATACACACACACACACAAATCTGTCAAAGATAAAGCATTCTGAATACTAAAGAAACTGAGAAGCAAAACCATTCAGCGAGGCTGTAAAATAATCTGGTCTAAGTAACTTGGGTGAGTGACATTAAGAACCTTGAGACCTTAGTGATTTTTTTCCTCAGGTGGCAGCTTTGAACTTCTCTACAACAAACCGCTAATGATTAGATTTAGAATGATAGCTGATGAAAAGGCTCTGCTAAGTGTGTGCTGTATCTGTTCATATCTACATAAGACATAGCCACCATACCAGATGGGGTAGGCAGATAAAGATCCTTTCACAAGCTGCTTCCTTCCCCCACACCCTTCAAACTCCCTGTTGTCAACCCCAAACCTATACCAAATCCCCTTGTTTTTAAGCCCAAAGGTCAATTCTGGATTCAAACGTGCCTGAACTAAGTTCACAGGAAACAACATTAAAATGAAGGGACAGAGTTAAATTCACTCAGCAGCAAACATTAATATATGTATGTGCGTCTGTCCCACGAAACACAATGCCTGGAGAAACCACAAAGAGTAAGATACCCATATTATTAAAAAAAGACCTTGAAGGAAGTCATAATTGTATTTTATAGCAGTTGAACTGACCCACCAAGTGCTTAATGACCACAAACTGTTTCTGCAACTAAAACTAAGAGAGTTACAGGGAGTTGGGAATACATGTTAGATACTAACGGATCTTCAAGCTTTGAAGATGTCATTGCATGAAGAAAATTATGGGAAACACTGTTCCCGATAATTACGTACACCCGTAGTGTAACATATGGAGATCACTGTCTCCGATATAGACACTGTGGTAGGCAAAAACTACCATGTTCTTTATACATTATGGAAGACACTGCTCCCGATAATGTGAGTTAGGTTTGTGACAAAGGTACTGGAAATTTTGCAATTTGAATTTAGTTACATCTTAAATAAACTGAGCTTAAAATTTTTCAGGTTAAGTACTACCACAGCCCTCAAATTACATTTATTTATAACCTGGCCAAAATCGAATTTAGAAAAATTTTTATCTGGATGGTTAAATAGAAGTCTAACTTAATTAGCAATCTTTAATTAAATTTTAATTATTTTCCAATTCTTAGTGTTATTTGGCTTGTGGCTTTTCCTAAAACCCTCAAGTATTGACCATAAGTGCAAAACTTCCAGTATCTGTTGAGTTTTATTAGCAGATGCTGCTTTTATTTAAAAAAAAAAACAAAAACGACAGTATAACTGTCATAATTATGGAAGGCACTGCTTCCGATAATTATCTTCTATAAAAAAACTATTTATAGTGAACTCTGTCACTGATAAATAAACAATAAATATCTCAGTGCCAAAATGGTAGAAAGCTTCCTCAAAAGATTAACACTTTGACCAAAATTTGGCAGTGTGTTCTTTACAGTCTGACAAAATGAGTCTAAGATGTGTTCTTTTTCAGAATATTTTGGAAAAAAGAAAACAAAGAACTAAACAAAGAATTATCAGGGCAGATGTCAGAGGAAAAGAAAATGTCTTTGGCTTCTGGTATCCTCTTTTCATAAATAATGTTGAGATTAACACAGTAAGGCCTTAATCCTGCAATATTCTGTTGAACTTCATTGTACCTAGCTGAAGGACCTCTATTTCAGCCTCACTAGTGAGAAAACATATCTTTGAAACTTATCTGTTTCATTTAGAAACCAGCTAAATCCTTATGAAGGGCATATATCTGGTTTGGCGAATAAGGTTTAACAACCTAGGATCACCTATTTAGCATCAAATTAAGATGAAGTAATCAGACCCAGCTACCACTTTGACCCTTTAGCAGACACTACGCCTTGCTCAATTCAAAAGATACCAGCTAATGTCCTCAGGATTTAGAGTGATGTTCCTATCATTGGTTCTGACATTTCATAACTATGATGCAAAGAGACAGTTCATTAAAAAGCACTCAAAATTCTAAACATAATCTGAGAATATAGCCTATCATGAACATTTAAAGTGGTTATTCACTTTAATTTGAAGTGCAGGTACACACTTTGTCTGTATTGAAAGCTGTTGCCTAAAGACATCTAGTAGTATCAAGATGACTGGGTAGAATTTTAACCAGGTTTCATAGCTCTAATGAAAATTCAGCACAATCAGTACAAGTCCAGAAACAGACTACCCTGACACGTTATGGGTGTCATGGTTAAAACTCATTGTCTATATCCCAAATGTCACCAGAAAGGGCATTTGCAACTCCCTGAATAGTCCAAGTAGCTAGAGCCAACTGGTTTCTGAACAGTGTTTCATTAAAAGCACCATTATTTTTCTGACGCAACTTCAAATGCTCAACTAAAGCTGAGAGAGTATGAGAGCCAGAGCCCCAGAAGATGTGTCGGAAAGGAGACTCTCTTGGAGATACATAGGGTGACAGGAAGTGATACTCCACCTACAAAATAAAGCAGACGAGACAGCTTACATAGTGCTCTGACTTGTGAGGAAAATACCCAACACGGTAAACCATTCTTCTCTTCAAATGTTAAATTTCCTCCAAATTTGAGAATCCTGAGAACACAGCTATGTATGTATGTATGTATGTATGTATGTATGTATGTATGTATGTGTCTTTTTTGAGACAGGGTCTCCCTGTAGCTCCAGATGGCCTGGAACTCATTATGGAGACCAAGCTGGCCTCAAACTCAGAGATCTTCCTACCTCTGCCTCCCAAGTGCTGGGATTAAAGGCATGCATCACCACACCCAGCCCATTATAAAGTTAAGAGTCTAAAGCAAATTGTCTAATCTGAAGTGAATTTAATTGTACTGAGTTGTTTTTTGAGACAGGGTCTCACTATGTAAACCTGGCTAGCCTTGATCTATAAATCAGAGATCTTCTTGCCTCTGACTCCTGAGTACTACTTAAAGGCATGTGTCACCTATGCTTGCTGTCTTCAAAAATGGTTTTAAAGCCAAAAAGTGAGTATCTCCTGTATTTCTGGATTAATGTTAGTTTGAGATGTTGCTAAATCTGTGTTCAATTCTAAAGCAGCAAATGATTCTAGGCTCCTCAAGTTTGTTACATACTTTTTTTATTTTTTTATTTATTATTTTTGATTTTGTGTGTTTGAGTGTATTGCCTGCATATAGGTAAGTGCACCCATGTCATGCAAAGCCCTCAGAGGACAGAGAGGCCGTCAGATCCCCTGGAACTGGAGTTACAGACAGTTGTTAGCTGCCATGTGGGTGCTGGGATTTGAATCCAGGTCTTCTGCTTTGAACAACCAGTGTTCTTAACCGCTGAGCTATGTCTCCAGCCCCTACATACTTTTTATTAATGGAAGCTGTATTAACTTAAAATATATACTTTAGTCCCCTTTTTAAGAGTTTACTTACTTTCATAATACGGTCATTGATTTCCCTCATGACAAATCTGTTTGTTTTCTCAGCATTATGGAAATCAGTTGTTAGTCTGGATGTAGCACGGAAGAAATCTCCACGGGCAGAATATAGCCACTGTAGACTCAGGCCCATCTCCTGTCAAACAGAGATATTAAATTCACCATAAGTTCTGTTTCTGATTTTTGAGGCAGGGTCACACTCTATAGCCAAGGCTTAGCTGGCCACATGGCTCAGTGGATAAAGGAACCAGGGGCCTGATGACTGAGTTCAAATCCCGAGAACCCACATGATTAACAAAACCAACTCAACTTGTCCTCTGACCGCTACACACCGTGGTAACCCCCAACCCCACAAAATTAAACGTTAAAAAACACTGAATTGCTTGTCATCACATGACAAAATGGTGTAGCTCTGCACAAGACATGTTGCACAGGAAGACAAAGAACTATCAGGCCAAGTCCAACTTTTTTTGAGACAGTCTCATGTAGCCCAAGCTTGCCTCCCAATCTGTATGTATCTGAAGCTTGCTTTGAACTCCTGATCCTCCTGTCTCCACCTCCCAAGTACTACAATTATAGGTGTATGCCACCATGCCCAGCATTTTCAACCTTCTGACATTAGGGAAATGATGTTAGCATTTACTAAGTTCATGCTCACTACCCCCCAACCTCCGCCCCACTCAAGACGCTGGGTATGGTAGTACACATGTAATCCCATAATTTGGGAGGCTGAGGCAGAAGACTCATGCAAGTTCAACAACACCAGACTGGACTATTTAACAAGATTCTGTCTGAGAAGAAAACAGAGAAAAGTTGATTTCATAGAGGTTAAGAGTAAAATGCTGGTTAACAATAGCTGAACAGTGGCAAGGAGGGAAGCATGGGTAAGTTAATCAGAGAGTACTGAGTTCAGACAAAGCAGCTTAAAAAATGCTTACCTTTATATCTGCTCTGAATTGGTTCAGATCCTTCACAAATGACAGTATTTTGTTGTTATACATGTCATAGTCCAGGTTCAGTTCAACATCATGGGTAAGTTTAATAATGAACTGACCAGCCACTTCTGCTGCTGCACGTACTATTTTGTTCAGCTGAGGAATTTTCTGAATCAATATGTCATAGGTATCCAAGGCAGTACTCAAGTAAGGATAATCCGAGTCCTAGAATATAAAGAAAGGCTACTGTACTGATGTATAATCAATAACAATTTCTGAGCTCAAGTAGTTAAGAGGGCCCAGTATCCGTTAGGTGACTAACAAAACTACCTGTCACTCTACCTGTGACCCCAGAGGATCCTGACCTGGCCTCCGCAGGCACCCACACATGTTATCTTTTAAAAGATAACAGCCATGGGGCTGGAGAGATGGCTCAGCGGTTAAGAGCATTGATTGCTCTTGCAGAGGACCTGGGTTCGATTTCCAGTACCCACATAGCAGCTACGAACCGTCCTTAACTCCAGTTCCAGGGGAATCCGAAGCCCTCTTCTGACCTCCGCGGCATTGCACGACGCGGGTGCACTCACATACATGTAGGCAATACACTCATACACATAAAACAAAAAAATTAAAAAAAAAAAAAAAAGATAACAGACTTTGAATTTTTCCATTGTTTCTCATATATTCCTACCTATTTTTCTCTTAGCTGTAGCTTTAAAAAGTTATTCTTTGGGGTTCTATAGAATCCCATCATTCTACCCTGAACAGATTTCTGGCCAAATAAAAAAGCTTATAAGAAGATTACAAAGCTTTTTCTTCCTTCTCTCTGGGAAGTTTCGCCATATTAATAGAGACAGAAGCGCACACATGAAATTTACTTCCAATATGAAATTACTCTTGGACTAAAATTTACCTTCTTCCTAATCAGCTCTTGGTCCACTAATGAATGTTACTTTTCTAAAAATGCTTTGTGCATCTTCATTAGGCAACTTTAGTAATTATTTCTTACTCTTTTTTTCCCTTGTCTTTAAAAAATATTTTTTATTTTATGTGTATGAATGTATTGTCTGCATGTGCAGTGCCAGTGGAAGTCAGAAGAGGGTGTTGGGAGTCCCCTGGAACTAGTGGTATGGATGATTGCTAGCTGCCATGTGGTACTAAGAATTGAACCTGGGTCCTCTGCAACCACTAAGTCATCGCTCCTTTCTTAGTCTTTTTGAGACAGGGTGTCTCTATAGCCCCACCTGACCTGGGACTCAGATCCACACCCAGCTTATTTCTTACTCTTCAACTCTATTCCCCACTTTGACCTCAATTCATTTTAACACTGTTTTTCTCTACGACCAAATCTATTACCCAACACTGCTAGCCTTTTACATCTCACACTACATTAGCATTTTTTAAAAAACATGGCCATCTGCTGGGTGTGGTGGCTCATGCCTTTAGTCCCAGCACTCGGGAGGCAGAGGCAGGCGCCTCTCTGTGAGTTCAAGGCCAGCCTGGTCTACATAGTGAGTTCCAGGACAGCTGGGGCTACAGGGAGACCCTGTCTCAAAAAGACAAAAAACAAAAAAACAAAACAAAAAGGCCATCCAAGGCAGGTAACCTGAATTCCATCCCTGTAACCCACTCCTGTATGTTATCCTCTGACCTCCATAGAAGCCATGGCACATTAAATGTGTTAAAAGAAAAAAAGAGGGCCTGGAGGACCCCAGTTCAATTCCCAGCACAGGTATTGCAGCTGATAACTCTAGTTCCAGGGATCTGACGCTTTCTACCCTCCACAGGCATACACAGCACAGCTGTGGTATACTTACATCCATACAGGTAAAAGACTCATATACAATGCTTAATTAAAAAGACCATCCATGAAATCCTTCAACCCTCAGAACTGTTCTTCCTGATGTATCAAACATGCATCATGACCAGCTATTTCAATATCCTTCATCTTGTTGCTCCAGCAAAGATCAGTGATATTAGCACATTCCAGTCATGTTAGTCTCCATATCGAGACCTTTCATTATGCCCCATCCTAGTGTTAGTCCAGTTAGGACCTAGATTTCACTGGATTAACAATCTGGTAACAAGTTAATAGCTCCCACCCTTACTCTCCAATACTAATGGTAGGATCTTGTCATCCTTAGAACATCCTACTACAATTGTCCAACTCTGGCACACCAGCAAAGCCTTCATCACTGTTTACTCTGCACAGGCTTCTACGTCTTTGGATTGGCTCTTCTAAGAAGCCAATTTCATTTCAGTACATTGCAGTCAACGTTCAGTCTCATAATCTTGTATTTGGTTCGTTTTGGTACTTCAGACAATACTTCAACATCTAGAACATTTGATAGTATCCAATGAGTGTTGTTTGAATGTTTGATAAACATTTGAATCCTATACTATTCAACAAGGAGCCCCTGGCTACTCCATCATTTTAGAAATTAAGTCTTGCTATTAAAACTCATGTCACTGATATTTTAAGCAAAAACTCAAATGACAAGCTGAGATGAAGTCTGTTATGACTAATAAGAAAATATGTGATTACATGTGTATAACTTCTTAAAATCTTCAGCATTCTTCAGTCTTACCTCACAAAAACAGAAAGAAACAGCTGGAATTCCAGAATGTGCAAGAAAAGGGAAAGCAGCATCATCAAGAGAAAGTTTCTCACTGCAAGGAAAGCAAGAATATCTTTAGAAAGTTTTCTAAATGCAGACTATGCTCCCATGTGCCCCAACACCACCTTCAAATCCTTTCCCAAACAGAATCCCTATGGGTAGAGCTAAGCTCACTGCAAGGTTAGGTTTAGATCAACCCAATACAGAGGCTGCTGGGCATTTCTGCTTTTCTATGAGCTTGTTCGTTCCCTTTTCTCAACTTACACTTTGTTGTTCCAGTTGCTGTCCCGATACAGAGGCTGCCCATCAAGTGGGTGCTTCACCTATAAAATAAGAAATGTACCATTAAAACTTATTCAGGCTAGTCACTAACATGCTTTTCTCTATAAATACCTAAAATTTTTGTTCTATCTCCCTCAAAAAAATTAAGACAAAACAATCAACTTTTTAAAGTTATTCCTATTAGACTGTACTGTCAGTCCCTCAGTTACTGTGAGAAAGTCTTGACAATCTTATAGATAGCTACACATAATTACCTACATGGTATGCCTGTCTTCCTGCTCATTTATTTGTAGTTTTAGATAACTGGCCTAATGTGTTATTCAAATCCACTTAAACCTTCCTTAACAGTCTCACTTAAAAACCTGCTGTGGGCATCTAATATACATCTTGGGCCTCAGGGCAATTTTACTATATAATCCTAAATAGACTATTCTTTGAGACTAATATAATACTCCTTCACCTTACAGGGTCCAGTGAGTAAAGAGGAATAACCCAAGAGCATGACTTAAATAATATTACTATAGAATTTATGTTACTGTTCTTAAATGGTGCTTTTCATCTTATGTAAATGACAAGTTATACATTTTTGTACTAAGTATATACTCACATCTTGCATTGTCTTCTCAATAAGTGTATATAATAGTGGGCTAGCAGAAACCTTGAAGTTGCTGGTACCTGTAAAGAAATTATTTAACAATTTCCCTTTTTTGGTCAAGCAATTTTCATAAGGATAATGCTACAACCAAAAGTATGCAACAAAGACAGGAACCTAAATCTGTAGGCCATAGGATAATAATTTAGACGGAAGAATAACAATTTAGGAGTTAAGTGTGGTTTGTTCTTTGTTTATCTGCTTGTTTTGGCAGTACTGGGGATTGGGCTCTACTTAAGTCCCATCTTGAGATCAAGTCCCAATATGTAGCTGAGGCTGTCCTCATCTCTAGCTTCTGAGTGCTGGGATTACAGCCATGGGCCATAATACCTGGTTAGAGCCAAGTTCTTTAGCAACAATGGTATTCTAACTTAACTCACTAAGGCTTTTAATCCTAGTTTGTGGATTTCAACGTTGGTGCTTGCTTTTTAAAGCAGTTTTTAAGTTCACAGCAAAACTGAGAAAGGTACCTAACTTATCCCCATATATGTAGTCGCCTGCTATCAAATATATCCTGATTTTTAAAAAATCTTTGAGGGGCTGGAGAGATGGCGCAGTGGTTAAGAACACTGACTGTTCTTGCAGAAGACCCGGGTTTGAATCCCAGCACCCACATAGCAGCTAACAACTGTCCGTAACTCCAGTTAAGGGATACGACAGCCTCTTCTGTCCTCCCGACATGGGTGCACTTACCTACATGCAGGCGATACACACATACATACAAAATAAAAATAAATAATTTTAAAAATAAAAAATATATATATTTTTGATTCACTCAGGTTAGGTCACTGGCCAGCTACCATAAGCTTCCTATATGGCATATTTTCTGTTGTAGATGACTGATCTCAGATGTAGTTGAATACAAATCTTTCTTTCCAGTGTACACATTTGACACTTCTCAGCTCACTTACTGATTACATACACCTGCACTTAATATTCAAACTCCTTGAAGTTTAGACTATCCAGCACTTCCGCCAGTATGCAGCTACCTTGTAGTATTTGAATTTGTTCTCTACAAGTACCATTCTAGATGGCATGCTTCTGGTCTAAAACAGCCCACACTAGTGGTTCTAAAACTTTAAGGGCAAATGTACACTGTTAAATTTTTCTGCTGTTGTTTCCTAAGTACTTCACCTAAATTAAAAGGAAAACAACCAGTGTAAAGAATGCTTACCAAGAACAACTTTATCCAGATTGATGTAAGTGAAAGCTTTTAAATGCAAAGAGGTCAGGTATCCCTAGAAATGAAAACAATGTATTAATATGCATTCATTAATAAGCATTACAGGGTAGCTGCTGTTAGAAATTCATTTTGAAATCTGAATCCTACTGAGATTTACTATACAAAAACAAAAATAGTATGAAACCTAAAAGCATGTTTCTGGAGTTGATTTTAGACCAATACACATTCAGGTGCCCATTCTGGGCACAGATAATCTATAAATATTACCTCCAGCCATTCAGTGGCACCAACAGCTCCAAAATCTCCTGCACTCCAGCTTGCAAAGATAATGCTTCTGCTGAGTCTAAACCCACCTAAAAGAGAACAAAACAATCATTTTTACACTGGGAAAGATTACAAATGGGGAGGGGGTAACTGAAGGTGAGTCAGAAGCACTTAATTCAAGATAGTAGATTAAAAACATTTTCCTGGGGGCTGGAGAGATGGCTCAGCAGTTGAGAGCACTGACTGTTCTTGCAGAGGACCCGGGTTCGATTCCCAGCACCCACATGGCGGCTATGAACTGTCCTTAACTCCAGTTCCAGGGGAATCCAAAGCTCTCTTCTGACCTCCGTGTCATTGCATGACACAGGTGCACTCACATACATGCAAGGCAATACACTCATACACATAAAATAAAAAACAAACAAAAAACATTTTCCTTTTTGATGCCCCCTCCCCCCGTCCCCCGGGCAAAAAGCACTGAAGGACTAGGGAGAAATTTTAAAGTAAAGGACATAATGGACAAATAACATTCTTGTATACATTGTAGGTCCACCATATTGGTAATGTCCTTACAACTTTATTCATTTTCTGCACATTACTTTGTAGAACAAAAATTATTTGACTTGTTAAGTATGATGTCTGTCTTCTTTGACAGCCATTTGCTTAGAAGCAAGTCACTACAAACATGGAATTTTTGCAGGGAGGAGGAGGGAGTATAAATCTGATTAAGGTATATTATATGAAATGCACAAAAACTCAGTAAAAATATTAAAAAAAACAAGCAAGGCGTTGTGGTGCATGCCTTTAATCCCAGCACCCAGCCTGGTCTACATATCGAGATCCGGGTCAGCTGGGGCTACAGGGAGATCCTGTCTCAAAAAGACCAAATAATAATAATAATAATGAATTTTTAAAAAATACACCAGGTGTACTGCATTCATTTAATCCCAACCCTCAGCAGGCAGTCTCAGCAGATCTGTGAGTTCAAGGCCAGCCTGGTCTACATAGAGTTCCAGGTCAGCTGGGGCTTCAGGGAGATCCTGTCTCAAAAAGACACCCCACCCCCCAAAAAACCCCACAGGATTTTAAATTTTATTTAGAGAATCTGTTGTCCAAGCTGGCTTAACCTTATGAATTCAAGCAATGCCCCTGCATTTGGTTACTGAGAAGCTGAGGCTGTAGGTGTATGCCATCACACCTGGCTAAACATGATTTTTTTATTTTATTAAGTAGAATAAAAGCACAATGTTTTTCCAGAGGTTTCCAGCTCCTTTGGGCACTGCATGTGTCACTGTCCTCCATTCCACCAATTGCCCTTGATATGTACTTTCCAACATTAATGCATTTTGTGTAAGTTAAGCACTGCAATTAAACCTTAACCCAAAGAATGTGACCAGTTTGCATATGTGTTAGACATGGGCATAAAAATGGCAAATAGCATGAAAGAATTTGAAAGCTGAGCAAGTAATAGTTGTTAGACTATAGCACATTAGTATAATGGTATGCCACTGTTTTCAGAGAAATTCCTCAAGTACCAAGTTAGATCTGCATCCTTGTGTACATGTTAAACCAAGAATTAAGGCTCAGCATAATACTGTCCAGTGTATAGACAATTCCTTGTGCAATGAAGACATTTCACAATCATTTCAAAGTTGAGTCAGTTAAAACAATTTTCTTTGTATTAAAGGGCCTGCCGTAAGAGAATCATAAAATTACAAGGAAAAGTGCTGCAGAAGAGAACATCTAGAACTACATGTAACTCACAAATATTCTAAGGTCCAAATTTTCTACTGTACCTTTTGAGACCATATCTGAGAATGTCCGGGCAAGTTCCAACAGAAGACCTGTTCCCACACTAGATTTTACAGCTCCAGGACCCCAAGAATCTCTCTGGGCTCCTACGACAATATACCGGTCTTTTTTTTTAAAAAAAAAAAAAGAAAAGAAAGTCAAAAGAAAAATACACAATCAGCTTTGAAACTGTTTTTTGTTTGTTTGTTTTGAGACAGAGTCTCAACTATGTAGCCAAGACTAGCAAGGAACTTAGGATTCTCTTGCCTCAGCCTTACTACTGGTGTTGATGTCACCACGTTTCTATTAAAGAAATTTAAAATACACCTGTCAGTAGAACAGCAAAAATACAGTGTTAGGTATTAAGGATAAAAGAGCCTAACTTCAGAGGTGACTTGGGTGCTAGATTAAAAAGTCACAGGACAAACTAATCTGTCCTGCCAGGCCCTGTTCATGTTGCTACTCTTTTACTACATTACCCATGAAGTTTTACTCACTGACTACTAAATGATTATGCCTATGACTGCATTTTAGATAATCTATTCCAGGGACTGGCAAACTGTAGCTTGCACATTCACACATTATTTACCAGGTATGCCTTATTCCATGCTACACGGACAGAACTGAATAGTTGTACCAGGTACTACATAGCTCACAAACCATTTACCTACCCCCTTAAGAAAACTTCTTACTTATGAAACAGTCAGTAAACTTTTTATTTATTATTTTACATATATATATAGTTTTTTTTTTTTTTTGGTCTTTGAGAAAGAGTCTCCATGTAGCCCCAGCTGGCCTGGAACTCACTCTGTATACCAGGCTGGCCTTGAACTCACAAGAGATCCTCCTGCCTCTGCCTCCCAAGTGCTGGGATTAATGATATACATCACCATACCCAGCTCATATACACATTTTTAAAAAAGGTATGCCAAGGGCCAGGTGTGGTGATGCATGCCTTTATTTCCAGCACTCAGGAGGCAGAAGTAGGCAGATCAATGTGAAATTGAGGCCAGCCTGGTCTACATAGCTGGGATTACAGGTGTGCACCACCACACCCAGCTTAAATGAGTAAGTTTTAACTGAGAGTAAAGAGCCCACATATGACAACAGGGGGCAGAATGATAATTTAAGGCAGAGTTTCCAACTATAATGGTTAGTTTTAAAATACTGATTTCCAGGGCTTGAGAGATGGCTCAGTGGTTAAGAGCACTGACTGCTCTTGCAGAAGACCTGGGTTCAAATCCCAGCACCCACATGTGGCTAATAACCATCTGACGTTCTCTCCTGACTTCTTCAGGCATTGCACGACACAGGTGCACTTAAATACATGCAGGCAATACACTCACACACAAAAAAGAAAAATAGTGTTTTGAGGCCAGCCAGGACTACACAGTAAGACCCTGTCTCAGTGAAAAGTGCCCATGTGCACACATAAGCAAACCCACCCACGGACAAGCTCACACAGATCTCTCTCACACACACTTGCATGCAAGCAAGCAAGCAAGCAAGCACACACACACACACGGAGGCAGAGTTCATTTCAGGGCAATAATAACTAAGAAAAACAGAAAGTACCTGGTTCCTCAAAGCCTTTAATAACTCCAAATATGTTAAGTATTCTTATCTCTTTTAGCACATTATTCACAGCAAGCTTCACATTTCCATTCTCTGTGGACTGAAGCCTACACGAAGAGTCTGTGTTCCAGCTACGAGGGCACTCTCCTACCATGTTTCTAGGAATAGAAAATAGGCATTAGAATTCTGAGATTCTTTCTTCGGTTTACAAAATCTTATTTTCTGTCTACCATAAAAGGAAAATAGCTATAGCTTACATTTAAAATACATGCCAACATGGATTTAGAAGGAAGGTGTGATAACCAACCTCGGATAAACTTGAGACACCTTGTGAAGGACCCTCAATTGAGGAATTTTCTTCAAATTAGCCTGTGGCTCTACCTGTGGGGCATTTTCTTGATTGCTAACTGATGAAGGCCCAGTCTACTGTGGCCTGGCACTATCCTTGCGCAGGTAGGCCTGGGCTATATAAGAAAGGTAGATAAGCAAGCCAAGGGAAACAAGCTAGTAAGCAGCATTCCTCTGGTTCTGCCCCCATGTTCCTGTCTTGGCTTCCCTTGATGGGGGCTGAAACCTGAAAGGTGAAATAAACTCTTTCCTTCCCTACCCTTGTTCTGGTCAGTGTTATAACCCAGCGACAGAAACCAAACTGAAACAGAACATGTCATCAAAAAAAGTCCATTTATGTTTTAGACAGATGTACTCATCTAATATGAGCACTACTTGGAAGGCAGAGGCAGGAGAATCTCTGTTCAAGGCTAGCCTGGTCTACATAGCCAGTGCTATGTAAGGACACTCTGCCTCAAAAAAATTTTTTTTAAAGTATATATTTTCAAGCTTCCCAATACTCTCTACTAACAAGGGTAATATGTATCCTTATCAAAGGACATCAAAAGGATATTCCAGGTGCTAATAGTAAATATGTTCATTTACCCAATTCTTCCTGTTATCCAGTACCAACTGCTCCAATGGGGCTAACTTAAAGTCAAAATATTTTTGTCCCTCACTACACTAAGATAGGTGTTGGGTAGTAGTCAGTAGGAACTACCTATTACAAATTCCTCTTGGGATTACCAATAGCCACCCAGTATTTTACAAAGCCCTTACATAAAGATGCTCTGCATTTGTGACCAACACTCTTATCAACTAAAGAAATAAGATCAAAGGGATTAGAATAGCTTGGTGCATTACACACTAAACATATACTTAAATCATAATCTAATTTAATCACCCTATGACATTACCAAGAGGGAAGTGAAAATAAAAATTAACAATATGTAAATATGTACTCTAATTGGTCCCTTTTAGAGGACTCACTACATTGCCAAGGCTAGTTTCAAGTATGTGGGCTCAACTGCTCCTCTTAGCCTCCTAGCTTGCTGAAACTTCAGGTGTGAGCCCCTATACCTGGCTACCTTTTAAAGATACACTATACCTGGGGAAGACATCTAGAAGAAATGATTACCATAAAGCAGCTGGCAACTGTCATGGAAACAGAAGATAATTCATCCTATACCAAGGAAACCAATCTTGTGCTGCTAAAATGAAAATTTAGGACTACTGGTTGTTACAGAGATTAAGATGTTAGTTCAACAGGAATTCCAAAACTTTTCTAATAGCCGAAGGGGCTGTGGCAGGCAAGAAAGTGCTTTACCATAGGAAGTGGTCAAGCAGAACAGATTCACTGAGTAAATTACACAAGAGCTATTAAGTTTACAGATCCCTTGTTTATCAAGCGCACTTTAAATTTTTCATTTTTATCTATAACCATCCAAATGTAGAAGAGCATAGCCAACTGTTCTAAGAGTTTCTCAAACTCTCATGAGTTTTTACCATTCTTGAACAATCACCCCCCAACCCCATTATGTAAGAGATTTAATTTCAAAAACAAACTCACTTGAATAGTGTTTCTGCAGCCTTTCTGGAAATTGTTTGGACAGGTATATTAGGTAATCCTGATGACTGCGATGGTGGAAACTGAGTATGATTGAATGAAGGGAATCCAGGTGTGTAAGGGTCACCAGTTCCTAGATGAGCCTAGCAAAACAAGTGAGTAATTAGCTTTAGTCAGCACTAATTCATGAAGATGCACTATAGCCCAAGCCATTTAGCAGCTTTAAAATCCATGTGTCTCTGCATGTGACCACTTTCTATTGCATTCAAGGTACTATTAACAAAGTATTTTTTAGCAATATTTCAACAATCAATAACCCAGTAACAATCAATAACTATCCTAGAGGATTGGAGAGATGGCTCAGCAGGTAAGGGCACTGGCTCCTCTTACAGAGGACCCAGTTCTGTTTTCAACATCCACATGGTGTCTAACAACATCCTGTAACTTCAGTTCCAGGAGATACTACATCCTCTTCTGGCCTCTGGAGGCACTGCTCAGCCACTTACATACATGCAGACAAATCACTTATACATATGAAATAAAGATAAATTTAAAAAATAGGATCTCAGAAAGCAAATGAAAAGCACAGTTTGAGGGCTGGAGAGACAGACAGCTCAGTGGTTAAGAGCTTTTGATGCTCTTGTAGATGACCTTGGTTCAGTGCCCATGTGACAGCTCGTAACTTTCTATACCTCCAGTTCTAGGGGATCCCATGCCCTCTTCTGGTCTCCTTGGGTATCAGGCAGCCCTGTGAGTTCCTATACATTGTGCAGGTGCACACATGCAGGTAAGACTCATATACATAATCTCTTAAACACACAAACAGGGCTGATGGCTCAGCAGCACTGACTGCTCTTGTAGAGGACCCAGGTTTGAATTCCATCACTTACGTGGTAACTTCAGTTCCAGGAGAATTTGATGTCCTCTTCTGACCTCCAAGGATATTGCAAGACACAACACTTACATACATGCAGCCAATACACTCATAGACAGAAAATGGGAAAAAAAAATAATAAGGACTCACATGTCCAAAGAATGAAAGGTCTGCTTTAGCAATGGGGAATTTAGCCTGGTCCAGGTATATCAAGACACCAATTGCATTAAAGCTTTGAGCATTTGCAACCTAAAGAAAAACACAGTGACACACACTGGAATTTATGCCACACAATAAATTTACAGAGGAATAGACTGATATTCCAAATGCTTCAAGAAAGCATTTTAAGGGAAGAAAATACCTTCCCTTAAATCTAACACATTAAGGAAAATCTAGAATAAGAGAAATAAACTCATCCAACCCAACACCTTAGTATTTTCTAACTCTGTTTGCATTAGTTTGACTTTTAATTTTCTTTTCTAAATCATATTTCTCTAGCTGATCTATATATACAGAACTGACAGACAATTTAAGCTTTCACTTAAGCATTCTGTATTATTTAATTTTCACTGAAAGAAATCGAGACACCATAGTTTTGTTGAAGTATTCTGTGACAATAGGTAACTGGAATTTGATTTTTTGAACACTTTTTTCTTTTGGGCGGGGGTGAGAGCCCAGCTGACCTGGAACTCACTACATAGACAAGGCTGGCCTTGAACTCAGAGATCGGCCTGCCTCTGCCTCAGAGTGCTGGGATGATTTGTTGACTACTTTAATATATTATCAGGCATGAGAGTCTAATAGCATTGGTTCTCTGAATGTAAGAAAATTAAAACTGGCTGGGTGTTGTGGCGCATTCCTTTAATCCCAGCAGAGGCAGGTGGACTTCTGTGAGTTCAAAGCCAGCCTGGTCTAGATAGTGAGTTCCAGGCTGCTGGGGCTACAGAGAGACCTGTCTCAAAAAAAGACACCCCCCCCAAAAAGAAATTCATACTCACCTTTTCTGCAATAGGGATTTTTCCTGCTCTAACAATCACTAAAGATCCATTCACAGGAATGCTTAAGTCTTCAAAGTCTTTTTTAGTGCCAAAATTAGCATGGATCAATTTGCCCTAGGATAAAGACATTAGGTTTAATAAAGATCATGAATTATTATTAATGCGTGTGGGCATATATGTTACTGGAAAACCTGTGTAGATCAGAGAACTATATGGAATCAGTTCTCTCCTTCCATCTTGTGTGAGTTCCAGGGATCAAACTTAGATCACCAGACTTACACTTCAGGCACTTTTACCAACTGAGCCATCTCACCAGCCCCAGAAATATGTTAACTGAAATGTCTGAAAATGGATCTGTCCAAAAAACTGTTAATCATATTATAATGTGACATAAACCAATTTTTAGATGTTTACACAAACTGTCACCATACCCTTCTTAGACTATTTTTTTTCATTAAAAATTTTTTTTTTAATTTCACATATGAGTGTATTGCTTGCATGTAGGTAAGTGCATCCGTATCTTGCAATGCCCAAGAGGACAGAAGAGGCAGTCGGATCCCCTGGAACTGGAGTTATGGACAGTTGTTAACTGCCATGTGGGTGCTGGGATTCAAACCCAGGTCTTCTGCTAGAACCACCAGTGTTCTTAACCACTGAGCCATCTCTCCAGCCCCTATGTTCTTAAACTATTAGTATTCAGATAAACATCCCTAAACTGACATTAACAACCTAAAGCTAGAGCTAAAGACAGAACACTTATGGATGAACTAATACCCTGGGTGTTCCCTCAACCCTTCGCTTCTAAATAGTTAGTGAAAGGGATACAGGTAACCTAGACAGCAGAGAACACTCAGAAGAAAAACTTCCATCTAAGCTGGGCATGGTGGCGCACACCTGTAGTCCCAGCACTCGGGAGGCAGAGGCAGGCAGATCTCTGTGAGTTCAAGGCCAGCCTGGTCTACATAGTGAATTCCAGGACAGCTGGGGCTACAGGGAGACCCTGCTTCAAAAAGACAAAAAAAAAAGAAAAACCAAAAAAACACCTCCATCTAGCTCAAAAGGCCCCCAGAAGATATACCCTTAACATACAAATGTGATTTTTAACCTGGAACTCTACCCATTTTCTGTTTCTGCATTAGTTTACAAGTTATTTGCCTAAATCTAAATAGAACAAGCATTAAAGAATCAAGATAAGGCCAGGTATGGTGGTGCACGCCTTTGTAGCTGGGGCTACAGGGAGACCCTGTCTCAAAAAGACCGAAAAAAAAAAAAAAACTATCTTGACTGGGTTTAACCTTATCTTGATTTTTTTTGGGGGGGGGCCTCTTTTTGAGACAGGGTCTCCCTATAACCCCAGCTGGCCTTGAACTCACTGAGATCTGCCTGCCTCTGCCTCCTGAGTGCTGGGGTGCACGACCACGCCCGGCAGATAGGTATTTTTATATATTCAACTTCTTTGTGGTCCTGGAGATCAAACCAGAACTTCACATGCTAGGCAAACATGCTACCACTGAACTACACTCCCAGTCTAAAAGGGCTATTTAGATCTGTCCCCACATAAGGCAGAATTTGATATATGCCTTTCAATGATCAAACACTGTCACATCAGGTGTTCTAAGGATCTGGGGCATGTCAGAAATAAAACTAATACCTAATAAAACTAATAGCCCTTCCTATAGCTTACATCCTAGTGGAAACAAATGAGTATGATGTCTAGTGCTAGATAAAATTAGGAAGCTCTCCCTACTGAAGATATATTGAAGTTGTGACTCCCATAACACGAGCAACAAGTCATGTTTGATGCTCAGGGGAAACAGACCCAGGCAAAGGGAAAGGCAGATTTCATAGAGGCCTTGAGTGGAGAGTGTGCTTGAGTTCAAGTCAGTGTATGAATAAGAGCAAGGAGGTAAGTGAGTGGCCAGAAGAAAGCAACACATTAACTGTCTTGCAGACCAAGATTAGGGCCTAGACCTAGATTAGGGATTCTAGATGATTAAGAATAAGAATTCATTTATATTTGAATATTGATTTTCTCTATTAAAGATATGAGTTTTCAAGCTGTTCAACTTGGAAACGAAGCCTATGTACTGCCTTTACTTACTGTAACTTCTGCAGCTTTACTATATGCCACGTAACCTTCAGGATGCTCCACCAGGTAAACCATGGTCCCTTTTGAATCCAATATAGTCACCGAGTTTTGAGCAGTGCTAAAAAAAATTAAGTACAAATTAAGCTAAGGCCATCCTTGGGGGGGCAGGGATTAACTAACTTTAGTACATTTAGCAACTGATTTGAATTAGTTGGCTTGAGGAAACTTATCTTCAAATCTTAATCTTGATTTTCAATTTGAAATTCTTTGATCTAGTGAGCATACCTGAAAGTTGTTACTTCTGCTGGGTGTGGTGGCGTACGCCTTTGATCCCAGCACTTGGGAGGCAGAGGCAGGTGGATCTCTGTGAGTTCAAGGCCAGCCTGGTCTATATAATGAGTTCCAGGACAGCTGGGGCTATAGGGAGACTCTGTCTCAAAGACAAAAAAAAAAAAAAAAAAAAAAAAAAGAAAGTTATTACTTCTATAAATAACTACCACCTTTCAACATACCTTCCTTTGACTTGAATCTTAACATAATGTTCATCACGCCAGACTTTGCTGAGTTTAAATGCATTGAATTGATTTTCAATAAAATAGGCAAGATTTTCATCTTTTTGAGATCCAGCTTCACGAGGGACATAAATATTCTGGTTCAGTTGCCTGAAAAGGATCAAGAAAATTGGTTTAAAAGTATAACTCAACATTATCCTTCAAATTATCCTTCATAAACCTTGACAAATGGATTACTCAAAACTTCTGGATTGACCAGATACAGAAAACATTTACATAGTTTCAGGCCAGCTGGGGCTCCAGGGAGACCCTGTCTCAAAAACAAAACAACAAAAAAAGTACAATGTCTTCAGTACATTACTTCAAACTTGCTAAGAAAAAACCCAAACTACTTACTATAAAGAGTTCTTTGAGAATACCAGTCTAGTACAATGTTTCTGTGTAGGAATTTTAGGGGAAATGAACAGATCTGCTAGAATAATATGAAAGACTATAAAACTATTGGTCAATAATACAGTATTGAAACTGTAGGAAACTAGCAAATGGTAAAAGATGGATTTGTTCTTTACAGAGGGACACTTGACTAAGGAAGATATTAAAAGTATAAAGACAAAACCTAAGGATATTTCTTTAGGTATGGATTAATCGATGAGCAATCAGTAGAAATTAGAACACTGGTGATACATATCAAAGACAAGTAAGTCATGATCTTGAAAACTGATGCCATTGTGGACAGTACCAGAACTAACTATGGCATACAATAAGAGGTTAACGGAGTGAGAGGGATAGCTGGAGAGATGGCTCAGCACTTCTGAGCACTTGCTTTTCCAGAAAACTTGAGTTCAATTCCTAACACCATTTAGTGGCTTTACATCCATCCTTAACTGCAGCTCCAAGAGATCGAACGCTCACTCTTGGCCTCTGTAGGCACCAAGTACACATGGTGGTACAATTAGATACATGCACATAACACTCATAAACATAATATAAAAATAAATACAATGTTTTAAAATAAGAGGTGGGGCTAGAGAGATGGCTTAGTGCTCTTGCAGGGGACCCAAGTTTCATTCTCAGGACCCACATGGTGATTAACAATAGTCCTTAACTCCAGTTCCAGGGGATCCAATGCTCTCTTCTGGCCTCCGTGGTCATTGCATGACATGAGTACACTTACATACATGCAGGCAAAACATTCATACACATAAAATAAATTTTTGAAAATAAGAGGTTAAGACAGGAACATCAGGGCTGGTAAATGGTCTCAGCTGATAAAGGCAGTTGCCGCTGAACCTGATGGCCTGAATTTGATTCCCAGGACCCACAGGGCAGAGAGAGAGAACCCCAAGTTGTCTTCCAACCTCCACAGGCTTGCTATGGCAAGTACATGCCCTACTCCCAAAGCAAATGTAATTTAAGAGATTGTTGGGGTTCCAGAGATGACTTAGTAGGTATGGCCACTTGCTGCTCTTGCAGAGGACCAGAGTTTGGCTCCCAAAACCTGAAAGGTTGGGTTAACAACTGCCTCTAACTCCATCTCCAGCAGATCCAACTCTGGTCTTCTGGCCTTCAAGGGCATCTGTACACATGTGCATGTATAAAGTAGATAACAAACTACATAAAGTAGATTATTTGAAAAAGTTCAAGCAGAAGAAAATCTGACAGCCCTGAATAAACTACAAAGAGTTGGATTACAAGAGCCTAGAGAGGCTTAATCCCAGTACTCAGGAGACAGAGGCAGGCCGATCTCTGTCCTCTTTGAGTTCCAGGCCAGCTGGGGCTACAGGAAGACCCTGTCTCAAAAAAAAAGGGGGGGGGGGATCTGGAGAGATGGCACAGTAGCTAAGAACATTGGCTGCTCTTGCAGAGGACCTGGGTTCAATTCCCAGCACCCACATGGTGGCAAACAACCACACATAACTCCATTTTCAGTGGATCCAATGCTCTCATCTATTCCAAGGGCATTGCAGGACACGGTTGCACTTACACACATACATTCAAACCACTCATACACATAAATGAATAAAGATCAAGTACTAGTTAGGAAAAGGGAGACTCTAGAAAAATTCTAACTTTTCCCCTGCTTATTGGCATTGTTTCATAAAGATGGGACGCCCCCCTACTCTGAAAAGCCTACTACCCTTATTTCCCTTCTCTTCATAAACATGAACCTATGAGGTGGCTCAAGCTTACTTGATGGTCTTGGTGAAGTCTATGTCATTCAGTTTCTCTGACAACATTGCTTTGAGGTCTGCCCAATATAAGCGAGAAGGAAGTCTAGAAAAGTCAGATTCTTCTGTCTGCGAGTTTTCTGATTCGTCTGCTTCCATTCCTGTCAGTCTTTCACACTCTTCTTTTCGTTCTACACGTTTACAATAGCCCAGGTAGCCGATCATAAAGCCTAAAGATAAAAAATTTGAGAGCTGAACTCACAGAATTTATTTGTAATTTATTCTTTGAAAACCTTAGTTTTTAATTAAGTGGTCTGAAAAAAAGTATGCATGTCAGTTTTAGAATTTAAACCACTTGTCACGATAAGTTATATAACTATTTTAAAGCTACCTGTTCAGCAACATTTGTGCATTACTTAAATAATTGTATGTTTTTCTTCTTGCACCAGACTAAATTCAATGGCAGGTGTAGAATCTTAATAATTACGTTTGCCATTTAAAAGGAACAAAATAGAGGGCTGGAGAGATGGCTCAGCAGTTAAGAGCACTGGTTGCTCTTACAGAGGACCTGGGTTCAATTCCCAGCACCCACATGATGGCTAACCATCTATAACTCCAGTTACAGGGGATATGATGCGCTCTTCTAAACCTCCATGGGCACTGCACAATACGGGTGCACCTACCTACATACAGGCATAATACAGACATAAAATAAAATAAAAATTTTTTTAAAAAGCACAAAATAGGGGCTGGAGAGATGGCTCAGTGGTAAGAACACTGGCTGGTCTGGCAGAAGACCTGGGTTCGAATCCCAGTACCTACATGGCAGTTAACAACTGTTCATAACTCCAGTTCCAGGGGATCCAATGGCCTCTTCTATCCTCCATGGACACTGCATGACAGGGGTGCACTTACATGCAGGCAATACATACATACGTATAAAATAAAAATTGTTTTTTAAAAAAGGCACTTCTACGAGTTCAAAGCCAGCCTGGTCTACAAAGTGAGTTTCAGGACAGCTGGAACTAGGGAGACCCTGTCTCAAAAAGAGACAAAAATAAATAAATAAATAAATAAATAAATAAATAAATAAATAAAGGCACAAAATAAGTATTTGCTGGATATAATAAAACTTTAAGAGTTGGTTATAAGAAATACTTTGTTGGTTATAAGTTTTGATTGGCCATTCTTACCAATTAAGAAAAAGATGATTACAGCAATAGTCCCATAGCAGATTCTTCCATTAAACCTTTTTGGTTTTTTGGCATTGGCCCTCATGTTACTGTCAGCATTTTCTTCTTCATCTACAGCTAGTTTCATTTCCACATGACTGTTATCTCCATCTACTTGTCGAGCCAGGCTAAAGCGAGTATACGACAATGGTTCTCCACCAAACTGGTATTTTTGGAAAAAGAGAAAAAGTAATGGTATATTAAGGTATTTACAAAGTTTGCTCACATACTATACTTGTTACTATGATTTAGTATCCATTAGTAAGGGAAAAGAAGTTATTTCCAGCTAGCATTTCTCTATGCCCAATTCAGTCAATGGCAGATGAATATTGCGAGAACAAACTAATCTCATTTCATCTGTCCTTTTTATTCAAGGTTTCTATTTTGTATAACTCCTGCAACATTTTTTTCTAAATTCTTTAAAGAGATGGGGTCACGGCCCATGCCTTTAATCCCAGCACTTAGGAAGCAGAGGCAGGCGGACCTCTGTGAGTTTTAGGCCAGCTGGGGTTACAGGAAGACCTTGTCTCAAAAAGACCAAAACAAACAAACAAAATGAAAAAAAAAAAAGATGGGAGTCTCACCATCTTGTTCAGACTAGCCCTGAATTCAGTATGTTGTGATCCTCCTGACTCAGCCTCCAGTGTAGCTGGAGTTCTTTTATCTACTTGGCTATTTATCCCCCTCCAAAACACCCAAACTACCCTAAAACTTCCTATATTTCCCATAATTAATCTTAATTGAAACTAAATATACTCCTGTGTGGGGTGTTGTGCCATATGCTTGTAATCCCAGCACCTGGGAAACTAAAGGAAGAGTGAGTTCAAAGACAACTTGAGGATATGTAGCAAGAGCCTGTCTCACAAAAGAGCCAGGGGTTTTTTTAGGCAATGGCAGGTGAATCTGAGTTCAAGCCTGATCTATAGAGTGAGTTCAAGACCAGCCAGAGCTAAATAGAGACCTGGCCTTAATTAAAAGAGTGGGGGGCATGGTGGTACACACCTTTAATCACAGCAGGCAGACCTCTGTGAGGTGGAGGCCACACTATTCGACATAGTGTAGGCCAACTGTGGCTACAGGGAGAGCCTGTCTCAAAAGACCAAAAAAGAGGGGCTAGAGAGATGGCTCAGCAGTTAAGAGCACTGATTGCTCTTGCAGAGGACCCGGGTTCAGTTGCCAGCACCCATATGGCAGCTATGAACTGTCCTTAATTCCAGTTCCAGGGGAATCCAAAGCCCTCTTCTGACCTCCTTGGCATTGCACGATATACAGGCAATACATTCACACACATAAAAATAAAAAAAAATACATAAATAAAATATTTTTTAAAAGACCAAAAAAGAAAGAAAGAAAAAAAATCAAATAAATAATTCAAAATGAAGAAAAATGTGTATGCCCTTCCTTTGTGGGATCTGTTATGCCTTCAGACCACCAGTTCAATGTAAGTGCCTGATGATAGCTTGGGTATTAGTTCATGCTCATTGAGTAAGTCATGTTCACAGACTTTACATTTTTGCAGATAGCTAGAAACATCTTACCAAGTTAGAGAATGCAGATCTGGCTTGATCCATCATTCTGAGCTGCCACACAGATGCACCTAATATTAAAACAGAATATAATGAGACATACCACTGTATCAGATAAGAGGGGACTTTTCCTTATCAGGCTAAAGTAACTATTATCTATCAGATTTACTCCTAAGTAAGCTATCAACTTTCTAGAAATGACTTTTTGTGTTTGTTTATTGAAACAGAATCCCTTTATGTGGTTAAGGCTGCCTTTGATCCTACCGCTTTGCTTCAACCCCCTCTCCCCCCAGGTGCTGAAATTATAAGCATGTACCATACCACCTAGCTCCTAGAAAAGATCCTTAATGAAAACATTTAATTTACATGACTACTAACTTAATGTGATCATTGAATATATGCTGAGTTGAAGTGGGATAGTCACGGGACTTGGGAAAAATAAGAAACTTGAATGCAGATTTAAATACTAAAGGGGTTGGAGATGGCTCAGCAGGTGTTTGCTGCCAAGCTTGATGACCTGAGTTCAATCCCAGGGACCCACATGGTGGAAGGCGTTGTCCTTTGGTCTCCACATATACTCTGTGGCAGACATATTGCCACCCCCCCCCATATACCCACAATAAATAAGATTCATGATATGTGAAATGTTTACCTTTTTGTTCATGTCAAAGGTAGTTACTTTAAAGGGAAATGGGGATATGCTTGGACACTCTAGGAAATACTGCAACTTGCTGTAACTACAACCACCTTTGGCTGTTTTTTCCTATAATTTACTTCCAAATATTTCAGTTTAAAAACTACTTAACAGTTAACTCCATTTAAAGGATACATGGATAGTGTCTCAGTGCTCCTATTTCAATTTTTCTTATAGGTTTGAGTTTAAGACAGTCTTACAGCTGGGTGACGCACACCTTCAGTCCCAGCACTCGGGAGGCAGAGGCAGGCAGATCTCTGTTGAATTCAAGGCCACCCTAGTCTACACAGTGAGTTCCAGGCCAGCTGGGGCTACAAGGAGACCCTGTCTCAAAAAGACAGTCTTAGTATAGCTGGCCTAAGGAGATCCAACTGCCTCTGACTCCTGAGGCATTACACATGCCCCCAGGCTTGAAATTTTTAAAGTTAAAATATGGGAAAAACAGCAGAGCATGGTGGCATACACCTTTAAATCCTAGCACTGGGAGGTAGAGTTCCAGGCCACCTGGGGCTACAGCAAGATCACATCTCATAAAAAAAAAGGGAGGGGGGGAGGATGTGGGCAACACCAGTTAGAATGTTATTTCTACTAAGTAGGTTTGAATAAGTAGGTTGAAGACAGGGTCTCACTATATAGCCCAAACCAGCCTTGATCTTCGGCTATGATTATGAGCGTACCACTATGCCCAGCTAAATTATAGTAGTCAAAGGGACTAAATAAAAAAGACAAAAGACTATCACTTGGAGGAAAACAAAAACAAAAATACCCAGAAACTAAGGAGCATTAAGTCAATTAAGTCAAGACTGCTATGCTACAAAGATCACAAAACAGCCAGTCTTGGTGGCACAGGCCTAGCTTGAATCATAGCACTTGGAAGAATGAGGCAGGACTATGAGCTCAAGGCCAGCCTGGGCTACATAGGGAGAGCCTGCATCAAAAACTAAACAGAACCTAATTTTTAAAAGCCTATTTCCTATTTTTATAAAAGTTTATTTAGTTGAGTTGTGTTTGTGTGGGTCTCAGTATATGGATGCGCACCATGTGCATGGAGGAATTGTGAGCCTGCCATGCGCGTGCTGGGAATCAAACTTGGGTCCTCTGGAAGAGCAGCAAGTGCTCTTACTTAACCGCTGAGCCATTTCTCCAGAGTCACCGTAAACTATATTTTTAAATCCCCAAGCTTTCAAGATCAAAGTTATATGCAATAGATCATGCCTTCTCTCAGAAGTACAATCTCTTGCCCCTTCTGGTACAAAGTTTATCACAGCCACTGCACCAGAACCACATAGAGGCAATCGCTAGAGCCAGACCTAGGAAGCCCCACCCTAGTCAATTTTAATCATCCTTTTCTAGGAATAAACAGCTTACAAGTTTAACCCATCTGAAACAGCTATTCCTAAACTTTTCTAGTTTTAAATTGTATTTACTCATTTAACTTTGCTGTACTGAAGATCCAACTTAGGGCTTCACTCATGCTAGGCAAGTGCTTCATATTAAACTAAAGTGATAACACAATTAAACAAGTGACCTAATAATTTAAGTGGTGAAACTGAGCAATTAAGACTGCAGAAACAAGTAGATAACTAATTTATATATATATAAATAAATAATTGTAACCTAAATTCATTTTTCTGAGACACACGTGATTTCTATTTTAACCTACATTACCCAAATTAAGACTATAATGTAGGGGCTAGAAGATGGCACAGTGGCTAAGAGCACTGAGTGCTCTTGCAGAGGACCTGGGTTTAGTTCCCAGCACCCACATGGTGGCCAACAACCCTTTATAACTTCAGTCCCAGGGGATCTGACACTTTCTTCTGGCTTCCATGGGCATGCACTTACATACATGAAGGCAAAAATAGCTATAAAATAATAATAACGTAAAAAGAAATCCTGTGACTTAGGAAATTTGTACTTAATCCTATCCAATTTTTTTAAAAGCCAGGATTTCACTACGTAGCCTGGAACTCTCTATGCAGACTAGGCTGGCCTGGATCTCAGATATTTTGCCTGACTCTGCCTCTGCCTCAGGAGTCCTGGAATTAAAGGCATGGACCACTATGTCTGGCTTAGCAACATAGCTTTTTATTTACAAGAATTCCTTTTAAAGTTTCTTCCAAGTGAAATCACAGAGTTTATATACTCTAAGCATGGGAGAGAAATTTTTCATTCTAGTTAAAATACTTTTTATTTTTATATTTTTGTGCCAGGATCTCACAATGTAGCCCTAGCTGGCCCACAACTCACAGATCTGCCCATCCCTGAGTGTTGGGATTTACAGGCTACCTTTACTTTGATGTTTCCAATGAGGACTAGAAAAACTATTCAAGCCAGGTGTGGTGGTACATGCCTTTAATCTAGCACTTGGGAGGCAGAGGCAGGCGGATCTCTGTAGAGTTCAAGCCAGCCTGGTCTACATGGTGAGTTCTAGCTGGGGCTACAGGGAGACCCTGTCTCAAAAAGACGAAAGAAGAGAGAGAAAGAGAGTGAGAAAGAGAAAGAGAGAAAGAAAGGGAAGGAAACAGAGAAAGAAAAAGGAAGGAAAGGAAGAGAGAAAGGAAGAGAGAGAAAAGAGGATTCTAGCCTCACAATAAAAATTAAGATAGGGGCTGGAGAGATGGCTCAGCGGTTAAGAACACTGGTTGTTCTTGCAGAAGACCCAGGTTCGAATCCCAGCACCCACATGGCAGCTAACAACTGTCCGTAACTCCAGTCCCAGGGGATCTGACAGCTTCTTCTGACCTCCTCGGGCACTGCACAACACGGGTGCACTTACCTACATGCAGGCAATACATGCACACACATAAAATAAAAATAAATAAAAATTTAAAAAAAAAATTAAGATAAGCAACAGTTCCAAGTTTTTGAGCCATGAAATAGAAGAATTTGAAACATCCTAAACTGAATTGTGAGATGGAAGATAAGCAAAGACACTAGTTAGACTAATAGACTTGTCACAAATCAAAACTTTGGGGTGTTTCAAAACCAGAGATCTTAAAAAGTACATAGAAATGGGGGGCATGAGTAGAATGACAGAACAAAACAGTCTTTTACCTATGTATATAACATCCAAAACTATCACTTTTTTGTGAAATAATCCATGTTTGTTGGTTCTGACAAGCCCACTTAGATTAACAGATTACTCTCAAAATTTTAGGGCTCACATAAAAGGTAGATTTCTTAATCTGATTTTGAGGCCCTGTTCCAGAGATTTTCTGATATTTTCAAAATACCCAGACTCCAGCCCCTGACTTTTACTATCAGTTACTCTTCCTCCATTCCTTCAAGTCCTACTCATTTCTAGACTTAGTTCTAGGACCACCTCTCTATGGGATCTTTTCTAACTTCTCCTACAGGTTGTAGATGTTATTGCAAACTATTTCCCTACACAACCATACATTTGCCAGGTAAAAGATTATGAACTTAGAAGATTTCTGCAGGGTCCTCAAAACTCACATTTGTAGCTGGGCATGGTAGGGCACACCTTCAATCCTAACACTGGAGAGGCAGAGGCAGGTGGATCTCACAAGATCAAAGATAGCCTGGTTACATAGCGAGTTCCAGGTCAGAAAGGGTTACAGGGTGACCCTGTCTCATAAAACCAAAAACCTCACATTTGTAATATACCCAGGAGACTTGACAAGAGACAGTAAGATCTTCAGGAGCCTAACTTAAGGCCTGAAATGAAAGGGCAATAGAAGTAAAAACAAGAAGTCTTCACTTCCATACAGCTTTCTGAGAAGCCCAATCTGAAGGTCACAGGTAGGGAACATCTGGGAGAGCAGCAAATCACCTACACAGACCAGTTCCACAAGGCCACAGGGTCTTTTTGTTCCTCGTTTTAAGGTCTTGCTATGTAGCCCTGGCTAGAACTCACTATGTAGACCAAGCTAGCTGGAACTCAGCCTCCTCTGCCTCCCCAGTGCTTTGATTAAAGGCAAGCATGCACTACCAGGCCTGGTCCAGAGGGTCTGAGTTTTGTTGTTTTTTGTTTTTGAGACAGGGTCTTCCTGTAGCCCCAACTGGCCTGAAACTTGCTTTGTAGACCAGGCTGGCCTAGATCTCAGAGATCTGCCACCTGCTTCTGCTGGAATTAAAGGCTTGAGCCACCATACCTGACTCCAGAGGGTCATTTTTTAACTAGCTTTCATTGTTGTCTAATTCAAGTTCAGCAGAGAACCCCTTGCTCCATTATAGATAAGCACACTGTCTGGCAAACAACTGTCTAGCCTTAGGGTAGAGCTAGCCAAAGGGATCTCTATCCACAATCAACACAGGCTGGGTTTACAGCCACTAATAACTCCACAACATTCTCCCAAATGAAAATAAAAAGTGATCTACTATATATAACTCTCTGGTAAATGATATTGCAGATTTGTTTAAATCACATTGTTTGTTATATTCCCAAACAGAAAAACTCAGGAGGGCTCACAGATACTTCAGAGAGGCTAAATTCCATTTTCTGAGTAGATAAGGCTCTGAAATCAGCTTAAATGTCTTCCTCAAGGAGGTCGTATTTCACAGTGCAGAGACAACTGCATAGCATCTAGTATTCCAAATTCATCTAAGCCTGTAAAAGGTATCAGGTAGCCAAGTACTTCTATAACACTACAACTGCTTCCTATTCCAATTCTCTTATTAAAAAAATAAGGCAGCAATCCAGCACAGTCCTCCGGATAAATAATATACCAAGGTCATTTCATCTGAAGCGAGGGCAATTCCGAGTATTAACTGAAGATACTATTTTATTGTCTTATCCTCCCCACACCGTTTTAGAGCGCTGTCCAACACAATGAACATGAAGGATTTCTACACCTACAAATTTCCGAGTAACTCATAGTCCTGTGGTCTTCCATCTTGGAGGGCTGCTACCGATATTCTTATGAACGCCTCTGGCGTTCAGATTCTGCCCTGGAAAATTTGAGAATCCACACACCAGGCCAAGATGAGCAAGGCCGCCCGGTAGGAAAAGACCAGGTGGTGCTGGCGTTCAAACCTACGGTTCTGGGAAACTGTGACCTAAATGCCCACGACACGCTCCTACACCAATACAGGACAGCTTTGTCTCTCTCCGCAGGGAGACCGGGCCTGCGCGGGGCCCGGAGAAACCAAGAGTTACGAGCCCAAGGTCACCCACGTACCGACAGCCGTTCCCCTGGACGACTTCCTGGAGCCGCCACCACGTGCTCCAGGCGGAACACGCTGCGGCCTGGCTGCCCTCGTGCTCTCGAACCCGCGGCCTGCAGCGCTGGGCGCCCGCCTTGGGAAGCCAGGGCCGCGGGGCTACGAGCGCACGGCAGAACCGAGGGGCGCAGCGCCATGGCCCGTCACCGCTCACCTCGCGCTGGGCGCTCCACAGCCACTCGCGGCTCGGCTGCGCAGGCGGGGGGGACAGCTAAGAGGAGCGGGAACCGTCCCGGGGCCGCACCCGCTGCACCTGCTGCTGGTGCTCCGCACAGCACCGCACACCCACCCCGCTCCTGGCCTCTCCCGCCCCAGAACACCGGCCCGCGCTGCTCCCTCCAGCCTCGCTGGCGCGGCTTGACAGGCAGGCGTCACTCACTCTGCAGGCGCCTCCTCCGTCAGCTGCAGCGGCTCGAGCTCAGGACGCCCTCTGAGGGGGTGGCGGCAGACTACCAGCCGCTTATAGCTAGACCCCGCCCCCTCCCGCCCCTCGGGGGGTCTTACGTCACTTCCTGCCGCACGTACACCTAAGGAGGCGCTCTGACGGGACCCCTAAAGGCGACATGCGCGCGCAGTCAGACACCTCGGGACCCCTAAAGGCAAGATGCGCGCAGTCAGACCTCGTCCTCTGCCGAGCGTGTGCTGGGCGGGAGAGAAAAGGCGCCAAGACAGCAGGTGTCCAGAGCATGCGCGATTGGCGTCCTCGCCCTCCCCCTCGGAGTCACCCTGCCACAGTAGCCTGCAGCCCTCTGCCTAACCTTGACCAACTTCCAGGCCCTGCAATGTAAGATCAACTGTGTTACCCCTTCCCTCCAAACTGGCCCTTATTTACAGTGAAAGTCGTCCCAAGTCTAAAGCCATGGTGTGAATACATTTTTGCATTCTGAGAAATACTTAGGCAGAAAACAAAATGCAAATCTGTATTTAAGATATTTACAGCCGGGCATGGTGGCACAGGCCTTTAATTCCAGCACTCCGTAGGCAGAGGCTGGAGGATCTCTGTGAGTTCAAGGCCAGCCTGGTTTACATAGTGAGTTCCAGGACAGCTGGGACTATAGGGAGACCTTGTCTCAAAAGGACCAAAAAAAAAAAAAAAAAAAAAAAAAATTTACAAGCAACCCTTGAGCCAAGCAAAGCACTTCGACATGTTTGATGTATGAGAAAAGTAGAAACCGGCGATTTATTAGGGTGGTAAAGTTGTAGGATGTAGATTATCTTTTTTTTTTTTTTTAAGACAGGATCTCTTCCAGCTGACCTGGAATTCAACACATAGATGGGCCTGGTCTTGCTGGGATTAAAGGTCTGCACCTCTTTACCCGCCTATAAGTTTAATGACTTTATTGCTGTTATAGGATTGCAGTAATGTATAACAAAATGGGTTCTTTTAAACTTGCAAATATACACACCCTTTCTTTCCTGTCTGCAATTTACAGTCCAACAAAAGAGAAGTTTACAAATAGCTACAAGGAGTGCGTCCTTGAACACAAAAGGATTACAGATAAAGCACTTTTCCAGGTAGGGCCCTTAGGGCCCCTGGAAAGTACTTAAAATGCAAATCTACTTTCCTGCAAGGACTTAAGCACGTTCTAAGTCGTGCCTTTAGGACTGGGAAAGTCCTTTAAAATGCAAATCTACTTTGGAGATTTCAGCTTTTCCATTGTTCTGCTCTAAAATCAGAACGATTGGGGGGGTCTTTGTGAGTTGAGGCCAGCCTGGTCTACATAGTGAGTTCCAGAACAGCTGGGGCCACAGGGAGACCCTATCTCAAAAAGACAAAAAATAAATTAATTAATTAATTAATAAAAAATAAAATCCAGCAAGTATGCGAGTGTAGTGAGTGGTGCAGACCTTTAATCCTCGCACTTGGGAGGCAGAGGCAGGTGGATCCCCACTGAGACTGAGGCTAGCCAGACCAGCTGGGGCTACCTGGAGACCCTGTCTCAAGATAAAACAAACAAAAGCCAAAATAACAATAACAAAAATCCAGCAAGTAGCCAGGCATAGGCCCTTAGTCCTGGCACTCAGAAGGCAAAGGCAAGTGGAGTTCTGTGAGTTGAGATCAATCAGCCTGGTCTATATAGTGAGTTCAAGGCCAACCTGTACTACTTAGACTCTGTCTCTAAAATAAAAATCCACCAAGTACTTGGGATTTACCAACTTCCTTTCCCTTTACAAACCCCACTCGGCTAAACCAGATATATAAAAATCTTACAAACCAGAACATCACTGCAATTTAGTAGACAATGGACATGGTTAAGCCATCAAAGGGTTACCTAGAAATTCAGACAATAGACTGAGACCCTGTGCTTTTTCTTGACTGATGGTATCTTTTTTTTTTTTTGGTCTTTTTGAGACAGGGTCTCCCTGTAGCCCCAGCTGTCCTGGAACTCACTATGTAGACCAGGCTGGCCTCGAACTCACAGAGATCTGCCAGCCTCTGCCTCCCGAGTGCTGGGATTAAAGGTGTGCACCACCACGTCGGCCTGATGGTGCCTTTTTTTAAAAAAAGAAGTAGACAACAGAGCATAGTGGCCCATACCTATAATCCAGTACTGAGAGGTTGAGACATGAGGATGCGTGAGTTCCAGGCCAGCCTGGCCTGTATAACTGGATCTTGACTCAGAAACAAAACAGTGATGGCATTTCGAGGTGAAAAATCTTTTCTTCTGTTTTATTTAAAATTTTTTATTACATTTATTTGTGTGTGTGTGTGTGTGTGTGTGTGTGTGTGTGTGTGTGTACATATACCTGAGTGGTCAGAGAACAATTTATGGAGTCAGTTCTCTCCTTCCACTCTGTGAGACCCCAAAATCTATCTCAGATTATCAGCCTATGTGGCAAGGACCTGAACCACTAAACCATATAGGCAAAAATCTTTTTTTTTTTTTAAGATAGGATCTCATGTAACCTAGGCTGGCCTTGAAGTTCTGATCCTCTGGCCTCCATCTCTGAAGTGTTGGGACTATAGGCATATGCCTCCACACCAAGGTTGCTGGGGATGGAACCCAAGGCTTCCTGGATGGTAGGCAAACACTTTACAACTGAGCTCTATCAAAGCCTAAAGATGAAAATCTCATGCCCTTGTGGAGAAAATGGGTTTAGAAAATGGTGTTCAGTACCATTTATGTGAAATTTCAAATATAAATCTTATATTCACTAAATGAAGCAATAAATACTAAAAAGGATGTCAATTTTTTTTTCATGCTTTTATCAGTAGTAATAGACTCCATGTAATTAAATTTCCTTCACTAACTCTCATGGGAAGGTTTGCAGGCTCATCTCTGAAATTTCAAGTAAACAAATATAAATTCATCTTGCTCTCTGTGGAAGCTATATATACTAAGAAATAATTTTTCTTTGGTTCCTATTCCAGACAAACATTCAAATATGTTATTTTTCCATCCTTGTTTTGTCACCATTATTACATAGCCTTTTCTACCACTTCTGGAAACCCAGGAGCTTGCATGCTTTCAATGAAATACTGTTTTGACAACTTTTATTTGACCTGTCCATCACAACTGATGTACTTTAAGAGCCAACAAAATGCTAAGAAAAAAAAGTAGCTTACATCGGAACTACAATTTTTGCAGTTCTTCCAAAAGGTACACAGATATAAAATCAAAGAATTTTCATTAAATTTATGAAGATCAGCAAGAAACATACAATTTACTTTAGGAAAAAAATCCTAAGACCTTGAGTTGTGGGATAAATAGCTCAAAGCCAGCTGGTATGGTGGCATTCACCTTTTATCCTAACACTTGGGAATCAAAGTCAGGGGGTTCTCTGTGAGTTCCAGGCCAGCCCAGTCTACATAGAGAGTTCCAGATCAGCAGGAGATACATAGTGTGACCCTGTTTCAAACAACAACAAAAAAAAAACCACCCTAGGGGCTGGAGAGATGGCTCAGGGATTAAGAGCACTGAATGCTCTTGCAGAGGACCCAGGTTCAATTCCCAGCACCCACATGGCAGCTACAAACCACCCTTAACTCCAGTTGCAGGGGAATCTGACACCCTCTTCTGACACAGGTGTACTCACATACATGCAGGCAATACACTTATACACGTAAAATAAAATAAAATAAAATAAAATAAAATAAAATAAAATAAAATTATATATATAAAGGCCGGGCATGGTAGCCCATGCCTTTAGTCCCACCCCTCAGGAGTCAGAGGCAGGTGGATTTCTTTGAGTTCAAGGCTGGCCTGGTCTACATAGTGAGTTACAGGCCACCTGGGGCTACAGGGAGACCCTGTCTCAAAAAGACAAAAACAAAACAAAACAAAAAACAAACAAAACACCCTCAAAGCCTTGAGTGTCCAAATGCTGGAGTAACAAAATGAAAACCCTGCCTACTTCATAGACTTTCCTTTGCATGGATTTCAATGAGCTAAGGCAGGTAGAAGGTGACTGGCTGCCGGGCACGTTTACACATGCCTTTTGTCCCAGCAGATGGATCTTTGTAAGATTGAGGCCAGCCTGATCTACATAATGAGTTCCAGGCTAACTGGGGCTACAGGGAGCTCTTTTTTTACAAAAACCAAAATAATGTTGGTGATGATGGTGGTGATGACTGGCACAAAGTAGGCAGTGATCAGCACAAATGGAGTCGTAGTATTGGTAGGGTATAGTGAGTCATGTAGACATGGAAGATGTCTGTAGGCCCAGATAGGATTTTGAGCTCATGGAGATGAAGACAGAAGGTATTTCATTGGAGAACAGCTCCACTCTGGAGGGAGAATGAGTCTGGGGTTAAAAATTCTACTCTAGGGGCTAGAGAGATGACTTAGTGGTAAAGAGCACTGGCTGCTCTTGCAGAGGACCCAGGTTTGGTTCCCAGCACCAAGATGGTGGCTAACAACTGTCCATAACTCTAGTTCCAGAGGATCCAACAACTTCCATGGGCATTGCACTGCATGGGTGCACTTACACACAATGCAAGCCAAACATACACAAAAAATAAAAATAAATATTTCTTTTGGTCTCTTTGGGACAGGGTCTCCCTGTAGCCCCAACTGACCTGGAACTCTATATGTAGACCAAGATCTCACAGAGATCTGCCTGCTTCTGTCTTCAAAGGGCTGGAATTAAACTTTGTGCCATCATGCCTGGCTTTAACATTTTTTTTTAAAGCTACAGACCAGGCATCAAAGAGGAACAAAGAAGATGATGGCAAGTGGAAGGAAAGAGGCTTTGCACTTTTAAAACACTAATCTGCTTATATTGTGTATATTTTATCACTTTTTTAAAAATTTTATTTTTATTTTATGTGTATACATATATTGCCTGCATATGGGTAAGTGCACCCGTGTCGTGCATGGACAGTTGTTAGCTGCCATGTGGGT